TATACTACAAGAACAACTCCCACGCATTTTGGTTGTTGCTATGATATTGCCTTAATATTTAGGAGGAGCCTTAAACTTAATTGTCTTGACTAACACTCCCACATTCATCAAAAAAAATTTGTATAAGGTACAAAAAATTTTTTAATAAACCAAAAGCTGTATCACAACATAATGATTTTATATTATTTTAGAGAAAAAGTCCATGATTATTTTACAGTAGAGTCTATTCACGGAGCATATACTCACTCTTCATTTCCTATCAATGTACATAGTGTACTACATAGTGAACAATTCATCTACTATGACTAACCTGAGATTCTTGAGCTAAACTAAGAGAGAAACAGAAGTAAGTGCATAGCCAGTCTTCACAATGACTTCCACTGATATTTTTGTGAACACGAATATCATGACGCAGTGTGGTACGATTATAGCAAGCATGAAGAAATGTGCACATTCCACAAAGAAAGAGGCAACCATGTTCTCCATCAGGGATTGCATTAGCATTGCGATAAATTTGAATGCAAGGACAAAAAAATGACAGCAAGCCTATCAGTGTTGGAACAAAAATGTCAGTCTTTTAGATTTAGAATTAACTTACATATTGTGCAGTCATCAAAGCAACCACATATTCCATGCTCCCAACCAGACATGATGGCTTGTTCACCGAGTTACTTCTTAGAAATTAGAGTAACAATTATCACGTTCTCACCAATATAGATCTAGTAGCGCGGACTGTCTTTGTGAAAGGCGCGCGCCGGACTTTGTGGTTATCATAGCCCTGACTAAATACTACGTGTACACTATGGAACTGGGCCAAACCCGTGCTGAGCCAGGCTGAGCTGGCCCTGCTGTACTTACCATGCTGGCCTGGTTTGGCCCAGCTCACTTTGGTTACTATTTATGCTGTGTTTACACTACAGAAGTGAGCCAAACCGTGCTGAGCCAGACTGAGCTGGCCCTGCTGTACTAGCCATGCTGGCCTGGTTTGGCCCAGCTCACTTCAGCTCAGTTTGGTTACTGTTTACACTATCAAATGAAACTGTGCTAGCCCACTTTAAACAGGGGCTGACTCAGTTAAAGAAGCTAGTGTAAACATAGCATAATACTGAGCGGTGTGGTATCTATGGTCATAGTATGTCATAATTATTTGGTCATAAATATTTTTAGTCAACCATTATAGCCCAGTAGGTTCTTTATAAATTGAGTTCTTTAGTATCTGTTATGGTTCACATTAGATTCTATTATTCATAGTCCAAATCATAGCCCTGCATGCAAGTCAAACAAAGCCGGAGCTATCCAAGCCTCTCGCTGTTTCCATGAGACCAGCAGACATCATGTTTACACAATATTCATTTTACAATGCACATGCAACATTTATAATTATTAGGATTAATTTTCTTGTTCCAGTTTTTTCGCTTTTTTAAGCTCCTTCTCAGCAAACCATGCGACACTCTTGTCACCTGCAATTGCCTTACAAAGATATAAAAATAAGATAATGCAAAGAACAATAGTAATATATACTTCATCCATTAGCTGGTCTGCTTTTGGATCAACTTTTGGCAGCTCTCTAAAAGCTTCATCACCCACAAAACAGATTTCGTGTCCATCCTTAATAATGGTTTACAATAATAATAATAATAATAATAATAATAATCATTTAGCGATTATCCTTACTGGATCAGCCAGTATGACTACTTCAACAGTAGCTTTACCCGGAGTGTCTAAGCTAACCAGTGGAGTCAATATCTTCCATCCTTTATCACTGACAGCTTTCTCAATATCAGGAAGCTTTGTAATAATCAATAATAATAATAACTCATTTACATTTAAATATACCTGAGCTCTTGGACATGAAAAAGCAATTCTTCCATATGCTTCTGCATGATCCATTGGCTCACTAATTCTCTCCAATACAAGTTTGGCCTTTAAGTTAGTTAAAAATGATGAAAAAGTAAGAAAATCATAAAATACCTGCTCAGGAGCATAGCCTAATGTGAGGAAGTTTTCGTTTTGTGCAAATATTGTCATTCCAAGGAGATCAGCCCAATAACCTTCATCATACATAATTGCAATAATAATTTCTAATGAGTACAAGTTACTTTTAGATCTCTCTAGGTCTGTGACACTCAAGCATACTGATTGAACAGGGTCTAAAGAATAATTCATGAACAATGTGCCAAATTCATCATTAAATAGAACATACCCCTTGTAGAGGAGTTTTTGTCATATAAGATAAATGTATATCCACCAGGACCATCAACCTTCAGGCTGTCGTCACTCTCCTACATAAGTACTTGTATAAGCATCAGAAAATGAAATAAAAATGGAGGATTCTCTCTTTTTCATTTTTGGCCCGAATTTGGAGCAAAATAAAAATTCATAAAAAAAATCTAAACTTGATCGAAATTAGTTCCAACTTCTACACAAAATAGTACATATATATGCATCAGAAAAGTTACAAAAATGGAGAAATCTTTCCTTTTGATTTTTGGCAAAATTAGGCTAAAGTCCAAGGGACTTTGGCCCAATTTTGGAATTGATTTACTTTGCTATACTTCATTCCTGACTGCTGTAGTTTGCTGAATGCATTTCTGGAATGTATAGATATGCACTAAAGAATAAAAACTGTTAATTTTAATTCAATTAATTTTTATGAATATTAATGAGTAGGAGTGGCTGATTAATACTTTAAAATCATTTCCTTTTTTGTACGATTTGATCCCATAATTGTAAGTGAGTTCAGCCACAAAATGAGAATCTTCTTCACCATAACCAACCATAGACTTGCTCCAAAGGCCATCATAAGGCCTTCAATTAAAAATAATAAAATAAGAATATTAAAAGTTATTATTTTTATTCTCACCCATTGCAAGCTGCCTTGCAGCCCTCATTAAATTCTTCGTGTCTCAATACCTTCATACCCAAAATATCCCGATAGAATTTAACCGTTGCATCTCTGTCTGCTATTTTGAACACATAGTGCAGTGCCCTCCTTCCACTCGCCATTTTAAGCCTTAAGTATGCGTGGGTGTTGCTATAATAGGGCGTGGCTCAAGTGTGTATTTCAGCTCTGTTGCTTTGCAAATTCGCAAATTGCCTCACTTCATCCTGGTATTGTCTCTTTGAATACATTCATGATCTACACCTTGCACTCTTTATCACGTAGCCCACTGAGGACAAAATGTTGAAGGTTTTCCTTATCTCTGCTCTCCTCCTCCTCACCTCCCAAGCTGCAAAGTATCAAAGGACTGTCAAATATGACAATGAGATACTAATTAGATGGTAAATGGAACTGGTAGCACAATTTATCACTTTATAATTTTGCTTCCCCCACCTCTCTCTTTTTAAATCCTTTACAGCCCAACTGGTGTTGAAGGAATGAAAGAGTTCCTGCAACGTGATGATGTTGACGTATGGCGTGTCACTCCTGATGGACTGGCTGACATCAGGATTAACAAAAACCTCATCCAAGGAACTGATATCATTTTAAAGCAATGCACTACAATCGCTGATGTTGAGGAATTGGTCCAACAATTTGAGAACATGACTGCATCAGTGAGACTCCATGGTCAAGCACAGCAGGAATGGCACGAGGAATATGTGAGTGTGTATTGTTATTTATCAGGTTGCCAATAATTCTTAATATAGCATAGGTATGATGAAATATATGATTGGTACAAGGAATTGGCTGAGCAATGTGGTGAACGATGCCAATTTAATTCCTCTATTGGAGGATCACTGGAAGGCCGGGTCATGCCTGCTTTTCATGTTGGAAGCCCGGCAGTTGGAAAAATATACTTCCAATGTCAGATTCATGCTCGTAAGTGAAAGTATAATTTTTACTTGTGATAAATTAGTGTTTTATATTGATGCATAATTTTCATTATGTTGTCATAGGTGAATGGATATCTGGAGCAACTTGCATGTACATAGCTGATTCCTTAACTAATAATCCTGAAGGCTTAGACATGGTAACGATGACCTAAGATCAACACTTGTGATAAATGTATTTGTAGATTTCAAAAGTTTTGGACGATGTGGAATTTATATTTGTTCCTCTTGTCAACCCTGATGGATATGAAGTAATGTAACTAATGGCTACACTATATATTAATTATTCTATACAGTATACATGGACTGGTGATCGTCTGTGGAGGAAGAATAGACGAGAAAATTCTGGATCAGCTTGTATAGGTGTAGATCTGAACAGAAACTACAATGACCACTGGAATGAGGTATATTGTGAAACAGGAAAGAATTTTAATGTCATTTTTCATACATAGGGAGGTAGTTCAAGTAATCCTTGCAGTGAGACATATCATGGTGTGAGTGCTGCCTCTGAACCAGAAACACAAAACACACAAAGCTACTTCAAGTTAGTGCTATAATTATTTTATAATATCATTTTTTTGTATTAATATTAATTCTAATAGAACCAATGGTCCTATCATAGGTGCCATTGACTGGCACTCTTATAGTCAACTTATACTGCGACCATACGGTAATCCAATATTAATATGATTTGATGCTCACTAAAATGCTGTTATAGGATGGACAAATCAAGATTCTCCTGATGAAACCCAGTTGAAGGAAATTGGTGACGAAATGAGTGAAAAAATTAAAGCTGTAAATTGAGCACACAAAATAATTCAAGTCAGACTCCAATCCATTATAATTTAGGTTTTTGGTGAAACCTACACGTCACAGAAATCCATCGGTCTTTATCCTACTAGTGGCACAGCCTCTGATTGGTAAAGAAGAATAACTGGAATAAATATTAACTAGTTCTTTCTTAGGTTTTACGGTGAGGATGCAACTTCAACAAATGGAGCCTATCGTGCTGCTGGTTATACTGTTGAACTGAGGGATACTGGATCTTATGGTTTCCTACTCCCACCAGAACAGGTACAATAGTGCACATGACAATGCAACTGTTATACTTTGTATAGATTATACCAACTGGCATGGAAAATCTTGCTGCAGTTTTGGAATTTGCACAAAGACTTATTGATGATCCGATTCCTAATCCTAATAATTCTCACAAGAAGTAAAGAGGATTAGAAACTGTATTGATATGCTACATAAAAGCTAAAATATACCCAAATAAAACTTACATAGCTGTTATTTTTATTTGCTGGTGATTTTATTAATACATAGTCATTATTTTGTGCTGAAAATCATGATTGCTGCTAGTCTATAAATGAAGCTAGTCCATTCAAGGGTGTGGCTCATTAAAAAACAGAGCAGCAAAATGGTTGAGTGGAAAGTGTTGCTGCTTTTTGTTCTCCATCTGTCTCTCTGTCAGTCTGCAAAGTATCAAAGAACAGTAAAGTACAATGATGAGATACTTATTAGATGGTAAGGAAGAACTTTACCCTTTGTCTGTGTAGTATTACTATACTCTTTCTTTCAACCAGTCCAACTAGTGTCAAAGGAATAAAAGAGTTCCTGCAACGTGATGATATTGATGTATGGCGTATCACTCCTGATGGACTGGCTGACATCAGGATTAACAAAAACCTCATCCAAGGAACTGATATCGTTACCAAGCAATGCACTGCAGTCGCTGATGTGGAAGCATTGGTCCAACAATTTGAGAACATGACTGCATCAGTGAAACTCCATGGTCAAGCACAGCAGGAATGGCACGAGGAATATGTGAGTGTGTATTGTTATTCATCAGGTTGCCAATAATTCTTAATATAGCATAGGTATGACGAAATATATACTTGGTACCGGGACTTGGCTGAGCAATGTGGTGACAGGTGCCAGTTTATTCCCTCCATTGGAAAATCGTTTGAAGACAGGGACCAGCCTGCTTTTCATGTCGGAGATCCGGTAGTTGGAAAAATATATTTCCAATGTCAGATTCATGCTCGTAAGTGAAATTAGAAGATTTTATAATTAGTGTATCTTTTTCATTACATTGTCATAGGTGAATGGATATCTGGAGCAACTTGCATGTACATAGCTGACTCCTTAACTAATAATCCTGATGGCTCATCAAGGGTAATGATGGCTTAAGATCAACACTTGTCATAAATGTATTTGTAAATTTCAAATATTCTGCAAAATGTGAAATTTATATTTGTTCCTCTTGTCAACCCTGATGGATATGAAGTAATGTAACTAATGGTTATAGTATATATTAATTATTCCATACAGTATACGTGGGATGGAGATCGTCTGTGGAGGAAGAATAGACAAGTTAATTCTGGATCAAGTTGTAGAGGTGTAGATCTGAACAGAAACTACAACGACCACTGGAATGAGGTATATTGTGAAACAGGGAAGAATTTTAATGCCACGATCCTTTTTCATGCATAGGGAGGTAGTTCAAGTAATCCTTGCAGTGAGACATATCATGGAATTGGCCCTGCCTCTGAACCTGAAACAGACCACACACAAAACTACTTCAGGTTAGTGCTATGATAATTTTATATATTATTTATTGTATTAATATTAGAAACAATGCTCCTATTATAGGTGCCATTGACTGGCACTCTTATAGTCAACTTATACTACGACGATACGGTAATTCAATATTAATATGATTTGATGCTCACTAAAATGCTTTTAGGATGGACAAATCAAGATTCTCCTGATGAAGCCCAGTTGAAGGAGATTGGTGATGAAATGAGTGCAAAAATCTTTGATGTAAATTAAACACACAAAATATTTCAAATCGGTAATCATGATTCCAATCTATTACAATTTAGGTTTTTGGTAAAACCTACACATCACAGAAATCCATTGGTCTTTATCCTACTAGTGGCACAGCCTCTGATTGGTAAAGGACAATAACTGAAGAAAAATTGACCAGTTCTTTTTAGGTTTTATGGTGAAGACGCTACTTTAACAAATGGAGCCTATCGTGCTGCTGGTTATACTGTTGAACTGAGGGATACTGGGTCTTATGGTTTCCTACTTCCACCAAAGGAGGTACAATAGTGCACATGAAAATGCAGCTATTATAATTTCTTTACAGATTATACCAACTGGTATGGAGAATCTTGAAGGAGTTTTGGAATTCGCAGAAAGGCTCATTGCTGCTCCAATTCCTAATCCTTATAATTCTCACAAGAAATAAAGAGGATTAGAAACTGTAGATATGCCACATAAAAGCTAAAACATACCCTAAATAAACTTGCATATAGCTTTTACTTTTATCTGCTGATGATTTTTATCAACACATAGTCATTATTTTGTGCTAAAAATCATGATTATAGATCTAGTCTATCCAAGGGTGTGGCTCATTGAAAAACAGAGCAGCAAATTTTTTTGAATCTGTCATAGTCGGAGCTAATAATAGTGACAATAAAATGAGTAAATGATTAAGAAAAAGAGTCAATAAAAGATTTAATACACGAAAGAGACCGAGACATTTTCACAAATGGTAGTAGAGATGGTTGAGTGGAAAGTGTTGCTGCTTTTTGTTCTTCATTTGTCTCTCTGTCAGTCTGCAAAGTACCAAAGAACAGTAAAGTACAATGATGAGATACTTATTAGATGGTAAGGAAGAACTTTACCCTTTGTGTGTGTGTGTGTGTAGTATCACTATCTACTCTTTCTTTCAACCAGCCCAACTGGTGTTGAAGGAATGAAAGGGTTCCTGCAACGTGATGATGTTGATGTATGGCGTGTCACTCCTGATGGACTAGCTGACATCAGGATTAGCAAAAACCTCATTCAAGGGACTGATATCGTTGCAAAGCAATGTACTGCAGTCGCTGATGTTGAGGTATTGGTCCAACAATTTGAGAGCATGACAGCATCGGTAAAACTCCACGGTCAAGCACAGCAGGAATGGCATGAGGAATATGTGAGTGTGTATTGTTATTTATCAGGCTGCCAATAATTCTTAGTATAGGGGACCTGATAGCAGGCCCGCTGAGAGAAGACATGGGGCCCAGGGGAAGATTAAAATTAGGGGCCCTTTGCAATAATGAAAAAAATTACAAATTAAATGACAAGAACTACCAATGCTCAAATATGACCGAAAATTGATTGACTGACTTAGGAACACTAGCAATTAAAAGCAAACTTGCAGAACAGCTAAATTTTGATTATATCATGGATCATTTTGCTAGTTTAAAAACCAGAAAGGCACATGTTTAATCATGTATTAAAAGATGACTTATTATACTTTAATTATAATGTATATTATTATGGGGCCCTCTGAAGTGAGGGGCCCAGGGGATTTATCCCCTGCTTCCCCCCCCTCTCAGTGGGCCTGCCTGATAGGAGTAGTAGTAGGAGTAGGAGTAGGAGTAGTAGTAGGAGTTGAGACTAAAGGCCTTTCTACAGTTGCAATGCAAAAGTTCAAACTGGTTCAGAAGTGAAGCCCATTCAATGCGCATCAGGTGTGAAATGACTGGTACAGGTTCCAAACCAGTTCAATGCGCCTAGTGTAGAAAAGCCTTAAATGCGTGGGTGGATAGAGTCAGCCACCCACGCAGCCATTATTATTAAAAAGTAGGAGCAGCTATAGTAAGAAGGTAAAGACTTGTATAGGCAATTTAAATGATTTTAACAATAAATTTAAGTTACTTTCATGAGTTAATTTAAGTTGTTTTATAAATTGGAGGACTACTTTTCCTTCATTGAATACACAAAATTAATGTATAGGTAAACACTATGCAGTCTTTAATGGTATCTCATTAGACTGATCCATTATCCATAACCTTCTGATTAAGTATTTGATCTATTGTTATCATTGTTACCATTTCTATTATGATTAGATTATTCTGGTCAAGTATTTAGACCTTTGTTTTACATCCATATACCTGATTTAGTGCATTTTCTCTTTCTCTCACTTTGACTCTTTTGTCTATCCTTTTTCTTGCTTGATAATTTTTTCTGTGATATTGTGTTGGTTAAGTTCTTGCACATTATAGACAAACAGTAACATAGCTAGTATGTACAACAATGCATGATTTATCAAAAAGTTATAGTTAAGATACATGGTTGACCTACAAAAATTAAAGAAATAATTATGTGACAATTTAGTACACTTAAGAAGTGTAATGTAAGATGTACTACAGTATGGAAATTCTAATAATGGAGTAAATTTGATTTATTTTAGCTTTTGTTTAAGTTGTTCTTATGAAGAATAATATTTAAATACACAATGGAAATAACAAAAATTTAATATCTTAGACTAGTTATACTATAAATATTTGACTATAATCATTACAACTACACACCACATATTCTACTCTGCTCCTGCTTTTATTATTCACTTAGTGTGTGGACCCACGCATTTTAGTCTCAACTCCTACCATTACTCCTGCTTTTATTGGGTCCCTAATGTAGCATAGGTATGATGAAATATATGCTTGGTACCGGGAATTAGCTGAGCAATGTGGTGACAGGTGCCAGTTTATTCCCTCCATTGGAAAATCAGTAGAAGACAGGGACTTGCCTGCTTTTCATGTCGGAAATCCGGTAGTTGGAAAAATATATTTCCAATGTCAGAGTCATGCTCGTAAGTGAAATTAGAAGATTTTATAATTAGTGTATCTTTTTCATTATAATGTCAAAAGGTGAATGGATATCTGGAGCAACTTGCATGTACATAGCTGATTCCTTAACAAATAATCCTGATGGCTCAGAAAGGGTAATGAATGGCTTAAGATCAACACTTGTCACAAATGTATTTGTAGATTTCAAATATTCTGCAAAATGTGGAAATTATATTTGTTCCTCTTGTCAACCCTGATGGATATGAAGTAATGTAACTATAATGGCTACAGTAAATATTAATTATTCTATACAGTATAGCTGGAATGGAGATCGTCTGTGGAGGAAGAATAGACAAGTTAATTCTGGATCAAGTTGTAGAGGTGTAGATCTGAACAGAAACTACAATGATCACTGGAATCAGGTATATTGTGAAACAGGAAAGAATTTTAATGTCCTTTTTCATGCATAGGGAGGTAGCTCAAGTAATCCTTGCAATGATAAATATCATGGAGCTAGTGCTGCTTCTGAACCGGAGACACAACACACGCAAAACTACTTCAGGTTAGTGCTTAGTCTCGCCATGCCCCTTCGCTACCTGCAGGTAGCGAAGGGGCATGGCGAGACTAGTTAGTGCTATAATTATTACATATATTATTTATTGTATTAATATTTAATAGAGACAATGGTCCTATTTTAGGTGCCATTGACTGGCACTCTTTTAGTCAACTTATACTGCGACCATACGGTAATCCAATATTAATATAATTTGATGCTCACTAAGATGCTTTTAGGATGGACAAATCAAGATTCTCCTGATGAAGCCCAGTTAAAGGAGATTGGTGATGAAATGAGTGCAAAAATCTTTGATGTAAATTAAACACACGAAATAATTCAAATCGGTAATCATGATTCCAATCCATTACAATTTAGGTTTTTGGTAAAACCTACACGTCACAGAAAGTCATTGATCTTTATCCAACTAGTGGCATAGCCTCTGATTGGTAATGAACTATAAGTGAAAAACTATTGATTAGTTTTTTTAGGTTTTACGGTGAGGATGCTACTTCAACGAATGGAGCCTATCGTGCTGCTGGTTATACTCTTGAACTGAGGGATACTGGAGAATATGCTTTCCTACTACCACCAGAAGAGGCATAATAATTCACATGACAATGCAGCTTTTATAATTTCTTTACAGATTATACCAACTGGCATGGAAAATCTCGAAGGAGTTTTGGAATTTGCAGAAAGACTCATTGCTGCTCCAATTCCTAATCCTTATAATTCTCACAAGAAATAAAGAGGATTAGAAACTTTGTAGATATGCTACATATAAAAGCTAAAAATACTCTAAATAAACTTGCACAGCTGTTATTTTCATCTGCTGATGATTTGTATTAATATACATAGTCATTATTTTGTGCTGAAAATCATGATTATAGATCTATAGTCTATCCAAGGGTGTGGCTCATTAAAAAACAGAGCAGCAAAATGGTTGAGTGGAAAGTGTTGCTGCTTTTTGTTCTTCATTTGTCTCTCTGTCAGTCTGCAAAGTACCAAAGAACAGTAAAGTACAATGATGAGATACTTATTAGATGGTAAGGAAGAACTTAGTCCTTTACGTGTGTCTAGTTTCATCATACTCTTTTTCGAACCAGCCCAACTGGTTTTGAAGGAATGAAAGAGTTCCTGCAAAGTGATGATGTTGATGTATGGCACTTCACTTCTGAGGGCATGGCTGACATCAGGATTAAGAAAGACTTGGTCCAGGGAGCTGGTACTTATAAAGAAGCAACCAAGGAATGTGTTACGATTGCTAGTATTGAAGATTTGGTACATCAATTTGAAGTTAATAACACAAGAAATAAAGTTGGAGATGATCTCTGGTTTGAAGATTACGTGAGTACCAGCATAGTTTTTAAATCATGCACTAAGCAAGTTTTTGAATCTTTTATAGCATGGATATGATGAAATATATGAATGGTATAAGGACCTAGCTGAAGAGCACAGTGAGATATGTAGGTTTGTGCCATCAATTGGGGAATCACTTGAAGGAAGAGCACAACCAGCAGTTCACATTGGTATTGAAACTGGTCAAGAGAAACTTAAAATATATTTCCAATGTCAGATTCATGCACGTGAGTCATTCGTGGTATAAAAAGGACTAATATTCATCTTTGTGCTCTAGGAGAATGGATATCTGGAGCTACATGTATGTACATGGCAAACTACCTTGTAACAAGTACAGAGGAAAGAGTAAGTGATTTTATTAATTACATCACTATTACTATAGCATTTACATATAAGCACCTTAATTGGTTTTGGGCTTACAATACTTGTAGTGGGCTGGCTTCATGCTTCTAAATTCACTGCATAATCATACTTGAAATAACTATTGTGTAGGTGAAAAATATTTTAGAAAGGGTGGAGTTCATATTTGTCCCTTTTGTGAATCCTGATGGATATGAAGTAAGTCACTGGATTGTGAAGTATATGATACTACATGCTGTATTTTGTACAATGCAGTATACAAGGAGTAACGACAGGCTCTGGAGGAAGAACAGAAGTGTTAATGAAGGCTCAAGTTGCAGAGGTGTTGATCTTAACAGAAACTATAATGAGCACTGGAGTGAGGTGATTATTATTATGCATAACATACCACTCATGCAATTCTCCTCGTTGTGTACTGTAGGGAGGTAGTTCTGATAATCCTTGCAGTGAAACATATCATGGTCCTAGTGCTGCCTCTGAACCAGAGACACAAAACACACAAAACTACTTCAGGTTAGCCACAGGCTATTCTGTCCTAATATAATGACAGTGCCATGAACATACAGAGCTAATGCTCCTGTTATTGGTGCAATTGACTGGCACTCTTACAGTCAGCTCATCATGCGACCATACGGTACAGCACAGTGTTATTGTTGAATATTGTAATGAGGCTTTGTATAGGCTGGACTTATGAAGACTCTCCGGATGATGCTGCTATGAAGGAAGTCGGCGATGCTGTCAGTGCTGCCATATATGAAGTAAGGCTTTTATTATTATTATTATTATTATTATTGTTGTTATTATTATCGTTATTATTATTGTAATTATTATCATGTCATTGAACTAATACAAGGTTCATGGAAAAACATATACGTCACAAAAGAAAATTGGTCTCTACCCAACTAGTGGAACTGCTTCAGATTGGTAAAGCTATTCATTTACACCATTTATATATTGGTCACTAGGTGCTATGGGGAAGATGCATCATCAACCAATGGAGGCTACAGAGCAGCTGGCTATAGTTTTGAGCTAAGAGATACTGGGCAATATGGATTCCTATTGCCACCAGATCAAGTAAGATCTTTAAATGCAATATTAAAGTAGATCTAATCATGTCATTTTGTGGTAGATTATTCCTACTGGTGAAGAAAATGCTGCTGGTGCTCTGGTCTTTGCTGAAATGCTTGCAGACAATCCTTTAAAATATGAAGAATAATTTATGCTTTAAAAAATTATTATTGCTATTTTTGCTGAAAAGAATTTTTGGGCGTGGCTGGTCATGCTGAGCTAGCTTCATCTAGCTAGCTTGCTTTGCTTTGCAATGAATTCAACTTCAGCCATGAAAGTGCTACTTCTTGCTTTTCTCTTTGGGATCTCCCAGGCTGCAAAGTATCAGAGAACAGTCAAATACAATGATGAAATACTCATCAGATGGTAAGCATTTCTATGTGAGAATCATGCATAGTGCTCCTTTGCTTCCAGCCCAACTGGTGTTGAAGGAATAAAAAATTTCTTACAAAGTGATGATGTTGATATATGGCGTGTAACTCCTGACGGTATGGCTGACATCAGGATTGACAAGCACTTGCTTCAAGAGAATTACACTGAAGCACAGACCAAATGTTCAATGGTTGCCAATGTGGAGGCACTGGTGCAGGAGTTTGAAAAAATGACTACCAGGACCAAAAAGAAAGGTCTAAAAGATACATGGTTTGAGGAATATGTGAGTTAACAATATAAAAAGTTATTATCTATGTATATTCTTGATAGCACACATATGAAGAAGGTGTAGCATGGTACAGGGAGCTTTGCAGTGAGAGTGGGAAGTGCAGATACACTGAGAGTATTGGGAAATCAATTGAAGGTCGGGACCAGCCTGCCATCCA